CCCCCCCCCCACCCCCCTCCCGGCGCCCCGGCACCATGGCGACCCCTCCGTCTCCCTCGGGCGCGCTGCTCGACTCGTCGACCTATGCCGCCGAGCTGAAGGCCTCCATCCGGGGCATGTTCCCCGATGTGGACCCGGAAGTGGTGGACTCTGTGTGTGACACCTTCCTGCAGGGGGTGGATGTGTTGAATTCGCGCGGCGGTGGGACTGGCATCATCAATTCCATTGTCGACTCGCTGCTGGGGATCTCGCCGGGGGCGCTGGACTTGGACCCGACGCCGGCGCCGCCGGTGACCCCGGCCGCCGGGCCGACCTCCTCGTCCCAGCCCATCCGGCAAGCCGGCTCGGCGGCGGCTGCCGGCTCGGCCGGCGCACCTGCCGGGGCATTCATCTTCGGCACATCCCCCTCCTCCGAGGCTCTTCGCAGCCTGCCAAGCTCGCTGTCCTCCCTGCGCGATACCATCGAGATCCGGTCGCGGTCGCTTTCCTCGCGCGCGGTGGCCGCCCTGAATGAGGCCGGCAGCAAGCTGGCCGCCGTGGCGACGGTCTCCGCCGCGGCCGCGGCCCCCACCCCCGCCTCACCGACAGCCACCTCCACCATGGCCTCGGCGGCGGCCGGGGGGCTCGGCTCGGGGGCTTCCGGGTCCCCCTCGCCCGGCGGGCCTCGAGCCCCGATGACCGCTCGCGATCGCCTGCACTCCATCACCTCGCCCCTGACCGGGTCCCTGCAGCAGGCGCTCTTCCAATTGAACTTGGTCTCCTCGCCGCCGGCCGGCAGCCAGCCAGGCGCCTCGGGCCCGGGCTCTTCGCCGGTGGCTGTCAGCACGCCCGGGGCCCCTGGCCCCCTGGCGCAAGATCCCCCGGCGTCGCAGGACTCCAGCTCGCCGGAGGAGCTGCTCCTCCCGCTGGACGAGCCGGAGGCATCGACGCCAGTGGTCCCGGCTACCCGGCCGGTCGCCAGCCCCCCCTCCTCGGAGTACATGCGCCTGCTCACGGAATTTGACCCGCTCTCGGCCAGTCAGGACGCCCTGACGGGGCCGAACGCTCCAGCTGCCCCGGCCCCGGCCCCGGTCCTGGTTGGCGGCTTTTCGGCCATCTCCCCGCCGGTCGGCGTTGATACCGAGACGTTCTCCTTCTTCGGGGGGTTTGTGTCGATGCCGCTGCTCAGCTCGAGCGATGATGATCTGGTGACGGCCACCGCTCCGCCGGTCGGCCTCGCCATCAACACGGCCATGCCGCCGGCGGATCTGACCGGCGTGGCGGCCTTCCGCCAGGCCTCCTCGCCGGATGAGCTGACCCAGGTGTGTCTTGCTGCGTGGCTGTGATTCCCCGGCCTGCTGGCCATCTGCGCTTGGCCGCTTGGCCGCCTGCCCGTGGTTCCAGCTCCCTCCCTCTCCCCCCCCCCTCCCCCTTTTCTAACCCCTCCCCACCGGCGGCAGACATCCGATCTGGCCACCTTGTCGCCAATGCTGGCCTCCACCGTGGCCGAAGCCAGCATCGCCCAGGACCCGGAGCCCGGCGCCATGAACTCCGAGGAGGTGACCTTCGGCCCGGTGTCGGAGGATTTGCTGGTCAATCCGATCCGCTTCAGCCGGGCCACCGACATGGTCAGGCGCTTCCAGAAGGACATCGTCCACCACTCGTCCCGGATTAAGGCCCTGGCCGAGGACATTGCCACCCTCCGGCGGAATTACGACAAGGAGTGGGTCCGCCTTCAGCGGGCCGGCCTGGTGGCCTTCCAGGGCCCCACCTTCCGGGAGTTCCTCAGCGCCAGCGTCAAGGTCATCCAGTGCCGGCAGAAGTTGTGCGTTGGCCCGGGCCCTGGTCGCCGGCCGGGGCTTTCTTGCGGACCTGCCTGCCTGCCTGCCTGCCGGGCTCCCCCGTGTCTGCGTACCCGACTGACCTGCCTTCGCCTCCCGATGTCGTGGCCGCCGTCGTCGCCATCATGGGCCGTCCCCATGCTTGCCGCTGTGGCTTTGCCGTCCGGGTTTGTGTCCGCTGCCGCCCTTCCCCCCCCCCCCCCCCTGCTGAAAGCCATTCCATCATCTCGTACCACCTGCAAATCCACCTGAGCCGGGTGCAGGAGGGCCTGGAGGCCGCCGAATTTGCCTTTACCCGTGGTGCGATTCCCAGCCTGGTGGCTCCCAGCTACGCCGGGATCACCACCCAGGAGCTGATCAGCATGAACCCCTGTCGGGACGAGCTGCGCGCGCTGCTCCGCCGGCAGAAGGTACCTACCGCGGCTGGCCCGCCACTTTCGCGCCCCCCGCACCCATCTCGCCTGCCGTCAGCTGCAGCCCGGCCAGCGGTCATCCGCCCCTAACACGCACACACACACACACACGCGCGCGCGCTTCCTCCCCCCCTTCTTTCTTTCCCTCTCCCCCCGATCATCTCATCCTGCTCGCATTTCTGTCCCAGGCTGCTGAGAAGGCCAAGGCGGATGCCCAGGAGCGATATGACAACGTGTGTAAGGCCATGAAGTCCAATGCCAAACACAATCAGCTTCTGTCTGCCATCCTGGAGGATGTACGTGTCCCATGCTGCTGTTGGGGAAGAGAGGGGGGGGGCCTTCTTCCCTGGCCCTCCCCCCGGCCCATGGCTTCCCGGGCCTGTGCCAGGCCCATCTTTTTCTCCTGGTCGCTCCGGCTTTTACTGACAGGGCTCGCCCTCCTGCCCGCCCCCCTCTCCCGCGTGCAGTCCATCGAGTCGCGCTCGTCCTATGAGCACGACATCAACGGCACCATGCTTGAGCTGTTCGCGCGCATCGTCGCCAGCATGGAGTCCCCACTCGGTGCGCCTTCACCATGCATCGACCGGCATGCTGCTCCCCCTTTGCCCCTGCTGACATCGATGTTTGTCCCTCCCCAGGCCGGCACTACAACCAAAACATCGAGGCCCTTGCGCAGGATGCCGGCTCCTCGATCGACTCGATGGAGGTCATCAACTTCATGGACGTATGTCAACACCTCCGTGTGGGGGGGGGGGCGAGGGGAGGCGGGGGGGAGGGGAGGAACAGACACTCTTAGTCCTCTGGGAATCACTCCTCCCTGCCGGCCGCCAGCACCTCAAGACTCTGCCCTTTGCACAACATCCTCTGACCATGTCCCCCTCCTGTGACACCTACTGCTCCCTCTTCAGAACTTCACCATCTCCCTTGCGCGATACTTCAACCTCATCCAACCGGCGGAAGCCGACGATGCGTATGCCCTGATGATGGACCCGAGTGGGGGCCATGTCATCTGGCACCTGCGTCTGCTGATCGACCGGCTCGTGCATCGCGAGCTGCACTTGCCCCTGTGGCACAATGTGCGTGCTTCTATGCGCGTGCACACACACACACACACACACACACACACACACACACACACACACACACACACACACACACACACACGCGCGCGCGCGCGCGCGCCCACACGCCCACACGCATGTCCTGCCTGTGTTTTTGATTTCCTCTCGGCCTCACATCGCTGACCATGCTGTGCCCCCC